CCGTCTACTTTACAAGTGTTGAAAATATTCCTATGACTGGCACCCCTATGAACTGCGTTGACGTCTCATTTAAATGCGAGGTGCTCATTTACATGTGTGGCAATCAGAAACTCTCTGATAGTATATATATATTCCTGTTAAATATATCATTCACTTTCAGACAAGTAATAGTTTCTCTAATCCTTTCGCTTGAAAAACCCTACAATGAATCGGAAGCCTATAGTTCCTCTGAGAAAATTCTGCTGCCTATACTACTACTTGTTTTGGATTATGGATTAAATTGTGGATCTAAAGTAGGACAATAATGTAATCATTAATAAAAGCTAATTTTGTTTTTATTTTTACATATCGGTCAGTTTAATAATTAAAAATATATTTTTCTATTTAACAATTCAACTTTAATCAATTTTGCTTTAAAAATGTTAAATCACAAAATTTATATACAACAAAATTTTATTATAAAATATACAAACAAATTAAAATGCATAAAAACGACAAAAAACGATTTTTTTGTTATTTATGCAAATTTAAGCAAAATGTGTTAAATTTGTTGAAATCTACTTAATTTATGAAATTCATGCATAATTGCTTAAATATGTAAATTCAATTCCCTTCTACAATTTAATTACTATTTTTGGTTTAGTTTGTTGTTTTTCCAAACAAAATTAAAAAAATATTTGGTAAAGCCTGCAGATTACAAACCATTTAGCGAAAAACATGACAAAAATACTCGAATCAGCAACAGAATTATTTTTACATAAATGTATCTAAAAATTGTGTAGATACTCGTAATTAAGCTCGCGAAAATGAGTTGTGGCAATCGTGCTTAATAGTTACTAAATAGGTATAAATAAATATTTACTATTAATTAATATTTGTTTATATAAATATTTTTAATTAATTTTTAGGTTTTGACTAAGTTTCAGTCAAAAATAAAAATATATTCGAATAAGTGAATAAATCCTTAGATACTCAATAATTGCAAATAGTTTAGCTGGTTTATTTTAATCTAATATTTCATTTTTTTAAATTTATTTTTAATTTATATATTTAATATATTAATATTTAATATATTATATATGTATTTACATTAGGAAAAGCTTAGAAAAATATCGCTTATATACAGGATTAAACGATTGAAGTCTTACCTATTCAAGCGACCTTATCTTCCACTAAATTGCAGAAATTTGTGAACATAATCTAAATATCAGAATCCATTCACTCTAGCTCGATGTGGCTATATTTTGCCTTCACCCCGACTATGGCATTCAAACTGTTAAAAAAATGAGTTGCATGCCTCACGAATGTAATTTCCCGATATTATCTTTCTTCAGCGTATCTATACTGGCATATTTTTCACTACTCACCGTACTCTCCAAAATAGTCCAGATGGAAAAGTCCATTAGATTTGAATCTAGCGAATTCGAAAACAATTGTGTGGACAAAATGCAGTGTGGAACATGATTTTTTAATCATTCTTGGTTCACACGAGCTTTATAAGACCACGACCGGTGCCGAGTCTTGTTGGAACATTCATAGTCCACAACTGAAATGTTTACGTACCTACGACTCTAAAGCAACTTCCAAAACATTTTCTCGATTTATAACGATTTATGGTACGATACACAAACATTTTATTCACTTTGAAGTGTTTGAGCTCACGAACAATAGCTGGTTGTGATATTCTAGCCAAATATAATGCAATCACACTGTTACTCTTAAATACCATTTCAATTAACTTTTGTTCTATGAAACTTAGGCGCAAATGCTTGTGGTGAATTGTAAACAATATAAATAACTGTTATTAGGCCTATTTACACTATCATGAACATGAACTTGAAAACCGGTTGCTTATTGATAAGAGAGGAAAGAGAGTGTGATGTGAGTTCATGAATTTCACGCAATGAAATTTGCTGCATTTCTTCAGTTTGACACGTATACATATGCAATGCTATGTTTATGTTTACCTTTTAATGCTAAATACTCCCAATTTCTGTACTCTGCACTACTACACACAAGCATTTTATACGTTTACACAAAACAAAACAAATTTCACGCTCATGAGAGTTCATGATAGTTCATGTTGTCGTCAAGTTCATCTCACGTTCATGATAGTGTAAATCGTCTCATTCATATGAATTTCACGTAGTTGACAATATCAGATTGACTGATATACCTATGTGTAGTTGGTAACACTTCAACCTTGTATTTAGTGTACGCGTTTTAACTTTGTGTGTAATTATTTGCTTGGGATAGAAATACAGAAACTTTTTTGTAGTTTTATTCAGATTTATCTTTCAGAGATATGAACTAAATTTGTTTAAGAGTATATTATTTATTATTTTCTTATATAGCATGAGAACCAGTAATATTCGTTACATTGTCAATTATGCACATATAGATTACACATTACACGTTTATGATATATAAAGTATTGGTCCCAATATACTTCCTAGCGGTATGTCTGATTTTGCTGTTCCGACCACTTATCTTCCTATGTGATATAGAATATTATAAATATTATAAAGATGAGCCTTAAAAACCATATCATTGGGAACTGAAAGAAGTTTTCGATTGAATCTTAAAGCTTTTAAAATTTAAGATTATGAATATGAATACTTTGCTTGCAGTATCTAGAAATATATAATTCAAATAATAAGTTTACTTTTACGATTAAGTTAAGTAAGTTAAGGATTATGTGTACCATAAATGCTGGCGTTTTTCTTGCCATTGAGGTACATATCTGAATCCGGATAACTGTTGACGCGTAAAAAGAAGTGCATTTCTTCTTAAAAATATCCCCTCAGACATCTTTATAGCATAAATATTGTATAAATATTGTTAGTAATGTAGAGATTTATATTATATCTACACATTATACATATTTGTATGTATATAATACTTCCTTAATAATTTTTAGTTATTAAGGCATTCAAGAGGTAAAGTCATTTCTGAGGGTTTAATAGATTCTAAATTTAGCACTTTCTGACTAAAGATTCTCTGGCGAAATATCGCTTAGTATC